GAAGAAAATAAAACATACAGAGACACTGCATGTAATATTAAAAGAAAATAAACATTTTATCATTTTAAAATCATGTGCTACAAAAATTAATAAAACGATTTAGTGAATTCAACTTTTAGTGGTTTCATAGCAGCGATCAAAAACATCTGGGCAGTCCCTTTTACCTTTGTACATCTTTTAGATGCATATAATTAAATGTGTATGGTCAATGGCAGCACGTACACATGCAGAATACACAGATGTATATGACGATACGCTCCGAATGTGTGTTCAGACAAAAAGCTAAGCAAATTTTACTGGCGGCTCAACTAGATAAAAATCTGCTTAACATCAACATAGAAAAATTGTGTCCACAAAAATATGTAACATATTTTAAATGTTGCATTCATGCTTCAGCTCTTCATTCTAACCCCTTCTTTCCACTGGATGCAAAAGCGACATGTAACAAAATAGTTATTTTTTTTACGTGCAAGCTCCTTTCCAACCGGGAGCGATTCTAACGAAACGGGAGCAAAAGTGTTCCCCACAGCCGATACTGTGAGGTCACAAAATTATGAGAGAAGAATTGCAACACCACGCATCAATTGGGAAGTTACAAGCAAAGACAAGGACAGCTGCATGTGTCCAAAAAAGGTCTGTGGCTTATTTTCTGTTTTGTTTACCTCGGCTACAGGGGTTTTAACAGGAAATGAAGTGCGTTTTTTTTCTGCACATGACTTTTATTTTGAAAGTTTCTGGATGCTTTTGTGTTTGACTTCCTGTCTGGCCTGATCTAAACTGTGCAGTTTGATGTGTAGCGCTTAGAAGTAGACTTGAAACGTAATCTCTTCGCTTCTGGGACAACGTTACACTTTGGTGCCGGTGGAAAGGAACCCGAATGGCTTGATACAGTAATTCCTTTCATTTTCAGTTTCTATCTATCTATCCATCTGTCCATCTGTCCGTCTGTCCGTCCATCTCCATCCATCTATCTATCTATCTATCTATCTATCTATCTATCTATCTATCTATCTATCTATCTATCTATCTATCTATCTATCTATCTATCTATCTATCTATCTATCTATCTATCATCTATCTATCTATCTATCTATCTATCTATCTATCTATCTATCTGTCTATCTATCCGTCTATCTATCTGTCTGTCTGTCTGTCTGTCTGTCTATCTATCTATCTATCTATCTATCTATCTATCTATCTATCTGTCTGTCTATCATCTATCTATCTATCTATCTGTCTGTCTATCTATCTATCTATCTATCTATCTATCTATCTATCTATCTATCTATCTATCTATCTATCTATCTATCTATATCTATCTATATCTATCTGTCTGTCTGTCTATCATCTATCTATCTATCTATCTATCTATCTGTCTGTCTGTCTGTCTGTCTGTCTGTCTGTCTGTCTGTCTGTCTGTCTGTCTGTCTGTCTGTCTGTCTGTCTGTCTGTCTGTCTGTCTGTCTGTCTGTCTGTCTGTCTGTCTATCTATCTATCTATCTATCTATCTATCTATCTATCTAAATAAATTGCTTTTCATCTTGAGTTGACTACGAAGCTCATGTAAGACTTACCCCGGCTTTCCACCAGATGTGTAAACGCTGCATAATTTCCGCAATGTTAAAAGGAACCCGGACTATTAAGTCAAGTTTGCTCTAAAACATATACAAGTAAAAATGTGGCATAAAAACAAACCAAATGTTTGCCCTTAAAGTAATATTTAAATAAAGTCAATTCAGCGGGAGGCCGCCATTATTATTTACTTACCAAAGAATTCTGGGTAGTGATGTCACATGGTCGCAACACTTAGCTGGTTCACACGGCTGACAGTGTAGAATACAATGAAAGCAGCTTTGGTTCAGCCTTTCCAGTTTGAACCTGAGAGGCAAGTGGGTAGCGAGGAAGAAAATAGCCAGTTGACAGAAAAAAAAATGAAGACCAGAGATGTAAGGATGCAAGAGTGGGGCTCAATCACTGGTGCACTTGCAGCGAATGCATGCCTATGCTGACGAAGATAGAGAGAGTTTGTTGCAAAGGGCTCAATTTTATAGTAGTAGCTATCCACGATATTACTGAAACACATAAAACATTCACAAAGCTACCTTTATTATATGTTATCACAAAACCCCCAATGTTCTTTATCATAAAGTGAAATAACGTTATTCCACTATGTTCTGATACTCCGTGCATCACTGTGCACCAAACCTTTCAAGCAGTTTGCCTCATTTAAGATGTTCTTTAGGCAGCAACTGCAAGCCTCCATGGGTTAGTGCAGGGCTTCCAGATGCAAACCAGCTGACTAATAGGCAGAGGTGTGGACTCGAGTCACAAGACTTGGACTCGAGTCAGACTCAAGTCAGTATTTTAATGACTTCTGACTTGACTTGATAACATCTATAAAGACTTACGACTTGGCTCGGACTTGAACGCCAATGACTTGCGACTTAAATTGACTTGCTTCTGTTGACTTGATGATGACTTGAGCAACATTTCATATTTTAGCACAAAAATGGCTCGACATGGACAAAAATCATAAATTATTCTTCGTTCTGGGTTTGATCTTGTTCTGTTAAATGCAGCAGCACTTTGTTTATAATCAGTTCCAGTTGCACTTCCTGCTTGTTTGAGCAAATAAATGAAGCTTTAAGAAGCTTTATTTCTGGAATTTATTTATCATCATTGCCATTAAATTGAAGTTGGACAGATGACTTGATAATGACTTGAAAATTCAAAGTTAAGGAATTGGACTTGACTTGGAATTCCACATCATTGACTTTGGACTTGGTTGACTTTGACTTAATACGAGACTTGACCGGAAAGACTTGTGACTTACCTGTGACTTGCAAAGCAGTGACTTGGTCACACCTCCGCTAATAGGCAAGTCAAAGACAGCAGCTACACTATGAAAATCACAAGTTCAGTGAACTTCACCTTACTGTTTTATAAATCTAATTATATATAAATTGCTGCAGTCTACATTTTTATTTATTTATTACGGTCTTACAGGTATGCATCATATCACCAGTTTACGTGGTGGATGCACGGCTGGCTAGGGAGAAGAATCCGCTGAGCCATCCCATCTTGTGATTTTGGTCTATCCTGAACCAAGTGGCATTTTTACAGGGTTTGACATGGAATATTGTTCATGTAGAGGTAGATGGGCAAATTTTAATGACATGTAGTTAACAGTTTAATGTTTTGTTCTACCACATTATCAATACCTTGACAAGTCAGATCTTCAGACTAAACGCTATATTAGAAGTGGGCAATACAGCAAAACATAGCAGTTTCTAGCCAAGATTTTTTTTTCACATAAAACTACAGAAATAAGTGTCCTCAAAATATGTTTCAACTAGTAACTAATACATCCAGTCTAATAATAATAAGTCATAATAATATTTAGTGATACAGCTTTTTTTTTTAAATATTGTGAACACTGGCATTGTTACAATTCTAAAGTAGAGCACAGCAAAAATTAATATATTATCAGCATATAACATGCTTCCCAGATCTCATATTTTATATTTTTTTGCCCCATTGACATCTTGTTTGTTGTTTATTAAATGTTTTTGCATAACGATCTTCTCGTGAGGAAAGCTGTGGACACTTATCACAACCAAAAGCGGCACAACGTGTCATTGTAACACTTCTCTGTAACAACAGCTAAGCTAAATGAGAACGCCAAAACTAATGTCTGCAACCAATTCGTGTCATCATCCCACAATGCCCTGTGCGCTCGAAAACATGGCTGCCCCTGTGACTTAAAAGTAGTTTGAAAACAGCTAAGATTGAGTGACCGACAAAGCATTTTTTAAGTTTATAACTGTGTTTTCATGTAGCAGAGATACTTTGTAACATCTTTAAAGCAATGTGTCTTTATAGTCGGTGTTCCTTTTAATATAGCTAATAGCCACGGTTATTTTGGATGGGTGTGTTTCCACTGGTCAGGAAATGGCACATCTTGGAAGTGTTCCAGAAGTGTAGCGTTGGCTCGATTCATTACATTTAGGCTTTGGATCTGATTTTTATGTGCCAAGCCTCCAGAACGAGAGCTGTTTAGCTTAGTCGAACGTCAAGGTATATTGGAAAAACAATGTTCGACCGTCTCCTATGTATTGCCCTGACATCGTGGCCTACAGATTTAGCAAGTATGCCATCTGAAAACAGAGTGATGTCAAACAAAAGTTTTTTTTAGAAAATTTCTGTGGATATTTAAAGTTAGTAACATATATAATTTGTTGTGAGTCAGGTTTTATCGATTTTGTTATCGCTCATAACTCAGGATCGCGTTGTGTTGAGGCAGCGCAAGTCCTCAAAAAAAACTGTTTGATTTTACTGTTGTCTTTTGAATATCTGACAAATTTGGTGAGAAGGTGGCTCTATTGTGCTGCTTCTTTCATCGTTGTGATGTCTAGATCTCACCCGTAGCACCGTTCATGACATGACACTGAAGGAGAATTTCGCCATAGAAGGCAGAATTGCTTTGAGGATATGAATGGTCTCTGAAATTATTATATTATTATACTTCATTAATATATTTACATTAATATTTTCTAGCTGTAGTATAAAGCCAAAACTTTAGAAACAAATCATAAAGCAACTGCAGTTATTGGTGAATTTGAAATTAACTTTGGAGAGCTGTAGCACAAATGTACTGTACAAAGGCACTCTATCCCACACACAGTCGTTGGTTCGGCGCATTAATGTGTATAGACACAGTGCAAAAGAAAAACAAGAGGCAGTAAAAAAAAATCTTCTTTGCATTTTGTCTGTGCACCACCAACTAGTACCCCCCCCCCCCCCCCCCCCCCCCCCCAATACACCGGAGTCCAGCAACCCATTTGCTCAAGATGTACAATTGGAGTCGATCTCTTCTCCCACTGATCTCCAAGAGGGCAGGGGTGCTACCCAAATACGAACAAACTCTGACAAGTTAAAGAAAAATCAGACAGTAACAAATTCTGTTGTGGTCGGGGAGATAAAAATCACATTGACATCACTTTCTCAGGGCATGCACATAGAACATTTATTGCTGAGTAGTCAGGTTTAACCTTTGATGCCATATTCATTGACACAAGGATTTGTCTCAGAAAGATTGGTTGATATATCTTTGAAGCTAAACAGCCCTTGGTTGCTTAATGTTTTCATCTTTAACCTTAAAACATCAGGAAACCTCGTTGACAAACAAGACACTTCAGGAAAAGGCAATCACTTCACCTGAAGCTACTAGCGCACACACACACACACACACACACACACACACACACACACACACACACACACACACACACACACACAAATATTAAACACCAGGTGATCAAACATAGTCATCAAAGTGATTTTGCATGATAAAAGAGGTCAACCCCTAAAACTTTCTCATATCATTTCATATTGAAGCAAAAGTTTAAAACTAAGACAATGGTCAAAAATCTAAAAGTCAAACTTTACAATGAGCACTCTTTTGGATGGAGTAATTCTTTCAATGCTGCAACAAAACTATTTTCTTTATGGCCCCTTCACACAAGAGGAAAAACTTGATAAGGCATAAATACTCATCCGGGATTTGGACAATGTTCGCAGGGTCATGGATCTTCAGTTTCATATTAGGAATACAGTGGGCTCCCATTACATGAAGTTTGATGGGTCCACATTGGCGTTTAGCATGCACAAATCATTGGTATCAAGGTTGTAGTTGTTTATTATGGTAGCAACAGTGTCTAAGGATCCTTGGTGGAGAATGAAGGTTTCCATGACACAAGACCCATCCATTGGCATTTTTTTTGGTCGTAGAAAGTTTAAATCAGTCCTGTCAAGGCTACACCCAATCACATCATCAGAGCCATTATTGTGGTATGATCGTCTAGTCCATTGGTTCCCAGAGTTTGAAAGTTGAAAAGTTTTGGGACCACTGTACTAGTACATAGCTGCATCCTGATATGGTACAAAACGTGGCATGATTGTTGTTGTACTGCTGACATATAGAGAATGGGGAGGGCTCAATACAGCATTCCAAGGAAGCAGAAATAGGAAGCTAAGACTGTGTGTGCTAACAAGCTGTGTCATGATTGTTTTCACACTGAAGGAGGCTTTTTAAAGATGTGGGACACTGAAAAATTGTTTTTTGATTATTTTGTCTGATTATAATTGGTCACTCTGAGTTGCAGGCCGAACATGAAAATAGTCTCCTACACCTACCTGCTGCATTAGCTTCTGATAGAAAATAGACGGTGAAATGCTAGGATTCGACAAATTGATGTCACGCTATCACTTAACATTCACAGACTCACCCAGTCTGGATTGCAACCGGTAAGGCTGTTGTTGGTTTAGGAAAGAAACCAGTAAAGAGAACATCTCGGCTCATAGAAACTAACCATTGGCATTAGCAACTCCACCACACAGCAGAGCTCCTCCAGGCTTGCGGTATTTGTGGAGATAAAACATACACAAAATAAGGTTCCAAATCCTGCCATCTGAAGCTCAACTATAATGTGGCTCACCTCTACTTCCTGAAAATGGCACAACCCCCCCTGGATGACTTACAAGGCATTCGTACTAAAGACCACTGCAAATTCATTGAATAAACGAGTGTTCCAAGCCTTAAAAAAACTGCTACTATTCATTCACATTTTAACAAGTCATACAGGTCGCGAGGAGGGTAGCGGGGTCCTAATCCAACATGAAGGGGCCCTTAAATGTTGCAAAGCTTTTATAAATGTTAATTTTGAAATAATGAAATATGAATCAGTTGCTACGACATCTTGTGTGTGTGTGAAGAGAATGGAGAATTGATGTGTGCATCAAGGTATCATTTTTAGATTAACCATACCGTATTGCAATCCCAGAACCATGCTTAAGGAACACTAAGGTGCCCATGATCGATATGTTGTGATCTAAAGCTTTCATTGTGATGATTTACGTTGCTCATTGTTTTCAGTGACAAGGCTACGAGCAAATAAAGTTCCCTGTGTGCAGGAATGCCTGTGAGCAAGTGCTGAGTGAATATGGCTGTCCCCATCTCTGGTTGTCCACAGACTCAACAGCTAGAAAACAAGCAAACAAACAAAAAGAAAGTCCAAGTGTTCCCATAGAGAATGTACCACAGGGAACAATCACCCAGTGCACATGTCTCTTTGAATTTTTTTTGCTTTGTTGTTTTATACAACGTCTTTGCCTTAAAAAATGTTATAAAACTGGAAGCCATTTGCAGACAAAAAGTCCCTAGACCACAAGTCGAAGACACTGCATGGGTTAAATAAATCAGGACAAACTAATGCAACAATTGCATGTGCCTATTCTCTTTTCTACAAAAATAGTTGGAATAGGAATCACGTGGTTTATCACCCAACATTGACATCTTGTTACACATCTGTATATAGATTAAAAATCTTGGTTAAATGCAATCCCATCATGCAGTCAAGCTCTCTTGCAACACTTGGTTTTGTCCGTTCATTTAAAATCCATAAAGATGGTGATCGGAAGTGCAGTAAAAAAAGAAGTGTGCTTGAGGTCTCACCGGCTGTGAGTCAAATTTCAGTGCACAAAAATAGTTGCCCCATGCACACACAGCCTTACCTTCGGGTCAAATGTATTAAACTCTATTCACTGTCCCTCTTCTTCACACTAATTTCTCTGCGTTCGCGAGTTAGAGATGATGGAGAAAGAAAAAAATAAGCAATTTCACGACTCACTCCATGCACGGTTATACCTCCTCTGTCTTGCAATTTCTTTTCATTTTCCGCTACCAAAGAAGTTGACAGACCTCCAGCGCTGAGACCTCTCTTCTCTTTCAAAAACACTGAGGTATGATGCAGTGATGAAAATGATTTAATTCATGCCTGTGATACCTGAGGCTGTGCTCTCACACAATGACTATGAACTTACATTCTTGAACTCTCCCCCACCTGAAATAATGCTTCAACCTCAACAGAAGGTCTTTGCAAGAGCTTAAGGAAACTGTTGTTTCTGTCTGCCAGAACAGATGGACATTAGATCTACTTTCTGCCTTTCCAAAGAAAAACAGCCACATTTCCTTCTAGCTTACCTTCATGCATTACCTTTCAGAAATCCCTCACGACAATTGTGAACAGTGTGACTTTCTGTTCTTCTGTTTTTTATGTTTTCAGTCACACTCAACTTCAGCTCCTTCAAGCTTATTGTATCTACTTCTCCTGACTTCCTGATTGGACCTAACCTCCTGGTTTTCCAGTTTGAAAAGGACCTTTTGGGGGTCTTTCAAAACTAGAAGGTAGAAAGGTCTCTCTTCTGCTCGTCGGCCTTAAGTAGGTAGGCCACCATAACCATCATCAAGTCAATTCCCCTAGAGAGCACAAACAGGACTTGTGAGAAATGTAAATAAAGAGGGCAAGATGAGGGCTTGGTTTTGGAAAACAGAGCATTGTGTCAATAAACCTCTCTCTCACTGATGGAGCAGAGAGGGTCGAGGAACAGCAATGGGTTTAGTTCCAAGAAAGTAAAGTAGAAAGAGAAAACAGTAGGTTTCATCTATTTTTTCGACAAGACCCTATTGTTGTTTGGCTTGAGCTCTTTCCTTTCAAACCATGATCTCCATCCTCTATCTCCCCTCTTCTTCCTCCTCTTCTGGTATCAACTATTACTCCTGTCCAAGGGTTGGCCAAGAAGCCTTGGGGGTCCATAAGCTCCAGGCCAATTATTTCTCTGTGGCCCTCCCTGACCCGTGCAGACAGCAGCATTCCTCCTTTGTCAAGGCTACCTGTACTATTGCACTTCTTTACTGGCCCTCCAAGGCACACAAGAGAGCTGGGTGACAGCAGGGATGTCAGTGACAAGCTGCTCAGTGCCTCTGACAAGTGTTCACTGTTACCCGCCTGGCTGGAGCCACAACCACCGATAGACGATCCAATGCCTATGCCCAAGTCTTCATCTGAGGGGTCGATGGAGTCGTCACGGGTGTACCCAGGGCTTGTACTGCCACGCCCGCTGCTCTGGCTCCGTTGGTGACCCCTGGTGGCCAGAAGGGTTACAGTAGACTGGGAGTTTGGCCTTGGCTTCATGGTCTGACCTGAAGAGGAAATTATAATTTCTTCTTCAGGCTGTGAGTTAGGCTGTTTGGTTGACAAAGAAGCTGTTGGCAACTCCAGGTTCTGTGGTGGTGAGACACTAAAGCTCAGTCCTTCTTCCAGGGTGGTCTGAAGGCTACCCTCAGAGCTACCAGTGGCAAGGGATGAATCACTGTGGGACGGGAACTAGAAAAAAAAATACAGAAAGAAGGAGAAGAATGAAGATTAGCACATAATCTCAATGCTTTTCTAATATTCAAAGTAAATTCAAAATACTTTATTAACTCATTCGCTGCCAGCCGTTTCCTGATCGCTAACGGCCTTCGCTGCCAGCGTTTCTCACCGTTTTTACAGTTTTTTTAAGAGTCACAGAACTTTGCACGCTAGGATGATGTTGACACCAAAACAACCAACACAAAGAGGAGACTCATCAGGAAGAATCCGCATGGTTCGAGCGTTATCCGTTCTTTCATAATCCATTGTTGAATTGTGATCGGCAGACGCTTTTCCAGTTCGAGCCTCACTTTTTTTTACAGGAACGGCCCAAAACGATCTCCTAACACATGGATGTTCTGCTTCCTGATCACGTGACGTGTGACATATGCGGATGAAGATCGGCTTCAGGGCTGAGATGATTGTTCACTCAGCGCAGGGGCTTGTTCCGATGCTCAAACAGTAACAAAATGCAAATGACGACTTTAGTCGTCATTAGCAGTGAATGGTTGGATTTAAAATGATGACTTTAGTCATCAGTGGCAGTGAATGAGTTAATCTCATAAAGAACTTAATCATGAATATAAAAGGTGCAGTAGCTCTGTCCTTTATGTGAGCATGTGATAAACCACATTTTTGTGTGTGTTTTCTTTTGTATTTCCACTGTTGTTTAGCATGTTTTCTTGCTTACTTGTGCACAGAGCATCTTCTTATGAGCTACATGGGAGCGGAAGGAGGCCCACGAGTATGGGGAGGTCAGCCTAAGGCCTCTTGACAGACGTAGACTCCTGCTGCGGGCAGGTGTAGGGACGTTTGCACCTGAAGAGTGAAAGAACTCTGCAGGCAGATGGAAGAGGGTAGAAATACCACTTGCTACGGCTCCTCCTCCATCTTCTTTGCGGCTTTCCTTGTTGTTAATGCTGGAAACACCACCTTCTGCAGAGAACCAAAATGCTTCATTAGTCTAGAATTTATGAATAATTGTTGCAACACCAATATACATTTAAATGTGATTTTCTTTGCTAACACATTTTAAAGAGTATTCAGTTATTTGATTCCACTGGAAAATTCGATTTGCATGGATTCACTAACCAGGGCTGCTCTGGGGTGAGCACATCTGCCGTTTGTATGTTTGCATTTCCATTTCTTGTAGAACAGTCTCCGTGTCAGTACCAGTGCCATAGGATTTGTTCTGTAGGCTCGTCCCCTGCGGCTGGTTCTGTACCACGCTTTGAATCTGATGAATTCCACCGTGACCCGCTTCACCATCAGCCTCTTCAGAGCTGCGAGAGTCACTGCTGCATCTTCCCTGCAAAATTTGATTAGGGAAGGACTGTATATGTTAGTAATTTCCCAGATGCAGAAAAATGTCAAAAACTAGAAGGGTTAAAAAAATCCTGTTTGAAAAAGCCACCACAAGGAGACTGATGTCCAACAATGTCAGTGCAACTAACATCTAATGGCCCTTAAACATCAGTATCAGCTCCACTCCGTCTGGACCAGTGTTCTCATTTAGTAGCCTTAGATTTTCCCAAGTTCATTGTGATGTCACAATAAGGGACATTTTCAAACAGCATGTAGATGCATATGGTTCCTGAAACCAAACTCACATAAACAGAGAGACAGTTTGTTTGGAGTGTTTGTAGGCATAGATCCAAAGCAAAAAAAAAAAAAAAAATGCAAAAAGTAAATTTTAAGATAGAATAAAGACATAACTACAATGTGAATCCTCAACCAGAATGTGCATGATTCTTGCAGAGTCTTTTTGAATAAGTTAGGCAGGTACTAAGAACACAGTTGACTCTACATCAGGTGTAATAGCATTAAAAACATTTGTAGGAAAATTGTGTTTGACTGGGCGAAGCTAGTGGCAATTAATATATAAGGGACTGATGTGCACCAGCATGGCTCAGCTGTTAAGAGTTTAAAACATGACTGTGCATTTATGTGCAGCCCTGCACCTTCTGTATTTTGTTAGCATGTCATGATCTTCATGCATATGCATGACACACCCTTGCAACAACAGTGCTTCATGCCTCAAATCAGGCAGTTTGTTAACTTAAAGTGGACTTTATCCATTTTCCTTAATTTACCGGAGATTAACCTCAAACTTATTTTCACTAAAATTATTGATTGCAGGTACTTGCTTTTTGTCTTCAAGAAGCAAGATCAATCACGGCAATTTGATTCTGAAAACTGATTTTCTTCAGGTGCACACCCAGATGACAAAAAACTAAACTTTGATTAAATAAATGAAAACATTTGAACATCTTTTTTTTCAGACTTTAATTTTCTTTTGTGCTGACCTTGATTTACAGCCACAGATAGTGATTTTTAAGATTACTACGGCAATGTAGAGCCAAGAAGCTGGAAGAAAGACGGATTATAGGGGGTGGCTACAGGGAAGCACGGATCAGGTGTGTAATTATTGTAGAGGTAACACTGAGAAAGGTGAAGCAGATAAGTTCAAAAGGGAGAAATTGAGTTAAAGAAAAAAACTAACTGGGAGTCAATAGTGACTAAGGAGAGCAGAATGTAAAGATTTATTCATGAGGTGGTTGAAAGAGACCGTTGCTTCTTCAGAGACAAGATAATTACCCCGATGCCCAGAGAGAAAGACAGGATGAGGCCTTTGGACCATAAAGCTTATATCTGTAAATTACAGAAGAGCCTACAGTGTGGCCATAAAAACAATTTAACCTTTCGCTTCTCTGGGAATGAGATTCAGTCTGTATGCCAGTTATATTGATCTCTTTCCTGAGTCTAAAACTAATGTTCACACCCAGATGATCAAGTAGTATCTTTAATTCGTCATCTGATATGTAACATAAAAGGGAGGAATATTTTTTACATGCACATTTTAGGTATTTAAAGGGGACATATACTGATTTCAAACAAATTAGAATAGTTCTATGATCAATTAAAACATAGTTTTTTGTATAAAATCCCAAAACACTTTCAGCAGTTCTAGCATTTTTGGTGCCTTCCAGAATGAGCCATTTCAGGGAAACAAGCTGCTGGCCACACCCACTTGAGCCCTAATCAGTGCAGAAGTGAAAAGTTTGGACATTAGGGAGGGGGTTGGAAAACCTCTGCTCCTCGCTACGTTCTAACAGGTGGTGATGGTGGGGGGGGGGGGTGCTCTATGCTAATTTTCTTCGTCAAACAGCTCGTAGAAACATACGATTCCTGAAACCAAATCTGACAGAAAACAGATAGATGTTTTTGTTCACGTTTGAAGTGTTTACAGAGGCAGAAGAGACCCACATGGCTGCACAAAAAGATGCAAAATGTGAAATATGTCTCCTTTTGTGCTTTTTAAATACTTGCAACATTTGGGGGTAGTTCCTGTTTTTGGTTTAAGAACAAATGGATTTGACCTTTGAATAAGAAAAAGACATTAATAAGCTTCAAAAATGCTATTGACCTTTCACCCTGCTTTGTTCTTACGTACTGTCATCTAAAGCCCCTTTTAGAGGACACACCATGCCGGCAAATCAGCATAATACTGCCGCCACGGTGTGTCTCATGAATGCACCGTTGCAGCATGGCGATGTGGGAACTTTGCGGCATTCGTGCCACCGCGCTTGGAAGTAATTGTAACGTGATGAAGGAGCCATTTCTATCCTCTAACAACTGTTCCCTTTTGACACAGTGCCAGAGTGCATGAAACAGCCTCAAGGTCATGCATTCGCTTCTAAACTGTTTACGTTCCAGCAATGAAGACAGAAGAACGAAGAATGAACTCTTTTCTTTTAATTAATCAAAGAATTCTATTTTAATAAAGCTAATCCATCAAAGTGTTAGTCAATATAATAAGATGTGACCAACCTGTGAAATCAAAATATTAAGTACTTTATTATGATCCTATAGAAATAATAAGTACTGTGACTTTAAGTGTTCCAACATGACTCATTTCACGTAGTGTTAAAAGGACACAACACATTCCTTTCACTGATCCAATCAGAATCTTACAGATCTGACGGAGGTGTGCTTCTGACGGTGTTTGGTAATTTTCATTCCACAATAAACCATAACATCTGAGGTATAAAACTATGCCACGTCAACTCTAACGCCAGTTCAAAGTGTTCCAGAGCAAGCAACGGAGTGGCCAATCCGACCTTTACCTCTTCAACCGAAAGAACCCATGACAAGCTGGAAAATCCAGTTGCTATAACAACCAGCGGCAACAACAGCTCCTTTCAGAATAAAAGCTCCACCGACCCAGGCTGGGTCTGAACAGACGCCAATAAAAGTGTTGTGTGCCGGAGGTAACTCAAGACGGTCCTGGTCGGAACTGCGGCTTCTTCTATCGGCCCGGTTTCCAGAGAGGGTCTGCTGGACCTCGATATTCCTGATCTACAGAGGACTTCCACAAGGGAGGTAGACCCAACTTGATGGTGTCTCATGCGTTTCTGAAACTAACCAAAGCTTATTTCAAAACAACATCTTCAGTTCCCGTCAGAACTAATCGCTTCTTCAGATTTGCTGGTTCTGATTGCATCACACGTCATCCATTCACCGTCTCATCCATTTTTAGTTACACTATACATTTAGTTTAAAGTAAGTCTAGTTTAATTGTTAGTAATAAAATTCTTAACTTTTAAACTTGACTCTCTCTACTCTGTGTCTCTGAGTGAATACATAACGGTTACATATTCTCTGCAATAAAAGATCCCATCTTCTGGTTTAAATAACCCTCGATCCGTAAGGAGGATTTCATATATACTATGGAATCCCATGCCGTACGGCTCATCAAATAAAATGTAATAACCTCTTGTTACCTTACATAATATTACTGCAACGCTGGACTTGTGAATGCATTTTATGCCTTGGCGCAACAGAGGGCAGTGTCATGATCACGTGGGGAGTTACTGCTGAGCTCCTGATTGAAATGTATTAAAAATGAAAGTAAACATGGGGCGTACGTTTTGTTTTTGTAATCAGAACCAGCTGAGATGGAAAACTGGAGCAATACAGCACTTCCAGAGCTTTTCTCCGTTATAGCTGGAGCTCAGATCACCAGAGAATGCACAGGGACTGTGGAGAACAGACACCTTTAGGAGTTGCTTGTTAAAATATCTTAATGAGAGTGGTTTAAATTGCAAAACAAAGCAAATTATGTCTAAGCTTCTTAAAAAACCGAGTCTTGACCCCTCTCTCCATAGCAGCTTCAGACCCATCTCTAAGCTTCCGTTCATCTCAAAGATCTTGGAAAAGGTTGTGGCTAAACAACTCACAGCTGCTCTTGATGAACATAACATCAATGATAGCTTCCAGTCAGGTTTTCGTAGAGCTCATTCTACTGAAACAGCTCTTCTTAGGGTCTCTAATGACTTTCTGACTCACAGTGATGCTCTGTTCTGGCCCTGCTGGACCTGACTGCAGCATTTGACACTGTTGACCATCACCTGCTACTGGAGAGGCTGAGAGACTGGGTAGGCCTATCAGGATCTGCTCTGGAGTGGTTCTCCTTTTATCTCTCTGAGCGCTCCTTTTTCTGTGGCCGTCTCCAAGTTTAGGTCCTCCACCACCTCTCTTACCAATGGTGTCCCACAAGGTTCTGTGCTCGGGCCTCTGCTCTTCCTCCTCTATCTGCTTCCTCTTCAGCACATCCTGAGCTCCTTCAAAGGAATCTTCTACCATCTTTATGCAGATGACATCCAACTGTACATCTCCTTTAAGCCCCATGAGATGTCTAAGCTGCAGCTGTTACACACCTGCTTAGACTCTATCAAAACCTGGATGGCTGGGAGCTTTCTTCAGCTGAATGAAGATAAGACTGAGATCCTCATCTGTGCCCCAGACAAGCTGGTTCCCAAAGTCAGAGACTCTCTTGGTCAGCTTGCTTCTCACACCAAACCTTATGTCAGGAATCTTGGCGTGACCTTTGACCCAGCTCTCACCCTGGATTCTCTTTTCACGTGTCTGAGCAGAACCTCCCTGAATAGTCTACAGGTGGTTCAGAATGCCTGTGCTCGGCTTCTGACCAAGTCCTCCAAACACACCCACATCACCCCGCTTCTCCTCCAGCTTCACTGGCAGTCAGTCAACTTCAGGGTCCATTTCAAGATCCTGGTTCTGGTCTATAGGGCCTTACATGGACAAGCACCATCTTACATAGATGATCTTCTTAGTCCCTACACCCCCAGCAGGTCCCTGAGGTCCAGTGATCAAAGCCTACTGGTTGTGCAGCACCAGGCTAAAGACCAAAGGCGACAGATCATTTGCTGCTGTGGCCCCCAGACTCTGGAACTCTCTCCCCCTGAGCCTGAGATCAGTGGACTCAGTGGTCTCCTTTAAAAAGCAGCTGAAGACTCACTTGTTCAAGCTGGCTTTTGTATGACCTTCTTCACCACTCTCTCTTTATGCTGCTCTCCCCACCTATTCCACCTTCCACAGGATCCACTGATTTCCCTCTTTCCTATTCACTCTCTCTCTTTATTCTGCTCTCCCTACCTATTTCACCTTCCACAGGATCCACTGATTTCCCTCTTTCCTATTCACTCTCTCTCTTTCTTAACATAATTTTGAATCACAAGTGTCTATTTTTGCTCATTTTTAAATATATTTTTAAACATTTTCTAAATGCTTTTTTATATTTTTACATTTTTTGTTTTTGTGAAGCGCCTCGTGATTTTTATCTTGACAGGGGCTATAGAAATGATATTTTCTTCTTCTTCTTCTAAGATAAACAGAAGTCTGAGACCGCCCCCATACCACCTTCATGCTGCCATCACCTAATCTTTTGTAAAAAGGACAGGATTTCGCACAATTACCGTCACAGTCTGACCACTTATAAACGAGCTAAGGATCTCTGTTGCGGCAAATTGGCGGCATTGTTTTCTAAAAGAGGCTTAAAGAGACAATGTGTAGTTTTTACAATTAATTTCTGGAAATATCAATCAAAATTTTGTTGAAAAATATTGGTGGCTTCGTAACATATAACAATAAAAATCAGGTCTAAAATACATGGGACTGGGTCTAAGTCTCTGGATGACGCCATGTTTCCTTCTATCGGAGCCCATGGGGACAAAATGCTTGTAACAAACAGTTACAAAACTTTCGCCGTTCTTAAACGTTTTTCTATTACACATTTGCATCCACTTGTTGCCAGTGATGAAAGGGAATCTGATGTGCTCGTTATTTTGCTGAAGTTTGCACTTCCCTGGGCTTTTTGACCCTAATGGGCATCCATTGGTAAGGTCTTACTCCAGCACAAAAATAATGCTTGCTTGCAACAATTTAGGTATCTACTCCCCCCTATCTCCAGGAAAAATACACACTGTCACTTTAAGAATAGGCAGCTTCCAGTTGACATAGGTAGACAGCTCAAGTTCCTAGGCAACATAACAGCTCATCCTGGAGCTGACAGTCCCCTGAGAAGATCGTACTGAAGAGGCCCACGAGTGCAAGAGGGCTAAGTATGCAGAGCTCAGGTCAGAGTACCAGAACAGCGGCTGGAGAGTTAGCCTTGAACTAATCGTTGTCAGGTGCAGAGGCTTTACAGGCCACTCACTGCTGCAAACCCTCAAATTCCTTGGAGTGAGAGGACTGCGATTGAAAAAAAAAACTCACAAGCATCTTAGAGGCCACAGATAGGGCCTCTGGCTGTGGATCTGAAGGGGGGATTCGTGGAATAACAGGCCACTTGGACACAAACTGGTGACTGATCAACCCTGGCTGGGTCACCTGAGTGAGGGTGTATGGAGATTAAAGACCCGAAACACCCTATGTGTTCTTCACTGATGACGAGTTGCACCAAGTAGCACAAGTATATGTATTCAAATTCAAATTCTCTGTGCAAATTTAAAGGCGCCTGAAGTTTGAATCGCGGTTTTTTGCAGATGATGTGGTCCTGTTGGCTTCATCAGAGGGTGATCTCCAGCTCTCACTGGAGCAGTTCACAGCTGAGTGTGAAGCACCTGGGATGAGAATCAGCTTTGTTAAATTCAAGATCATGGTCTTGAGTCGGAAAAAGGTAGAATGCCTTCCATGGGTGAGGGGCGAGGTCCTGCCTCATGTAGATGAGTTGAAATATCTCAGAGTCTTGTTAATGAATGCAGGAATGATGGAGCAGAAGATCCATAGGTAGTTTAGTACTACGTCTGCAGCAATGTGGGTGTTGTGCTGGTCTGCCGTGGTCAAGAGAGAGCTGAGGCAGAAAGCAAAGTTCTTGATTTACTGGTCATCTACATGCATTCACACCCTGGTGGTGATGAGCTACATTGTTGCCACATCTGCCCTACGGCGCACTAACAGAGGCGAGGCTGCTGTACACAGGCACCACCGGTCCCTCCGAACACCACCAGCAGGCAAGGTGCGTAAAGTGTCTTGCCCAAGAATGGTGACAGACTGAGCAGGGCTCGAACCTGCAAACTTCTGGTTACAGGGCGAGCACTTTTGCCACCGTCGCCTAATTTAGACGAACCCTCCATCATCCCATATGTTTCTGTAGAGCTTAACTGAAGCCCAGCGAGCAGTTCCAACCACCACCATCTTGTCTGGCTGGGGAGAGGAAATCTGGGCATCTCTGCTTAGGCTGCTGCCCCCGCAACCCGACCCATGATAAATGAAGGAAAATGGATGATGAATGAAGTAAGAATTGTGGTCAAATTTGGGTACTGCAGTCCCTCTATCAAAATACTGTACATGAGCCGCCTCCCCAACTTGAGTTTTGTGAATTTCATGGTGGTTGCCAGTTATGGATCAGTGCCAGGAGATTCTAGATGATCAGACACAGCAAGTTGATAAGTAGAGAAAACAGTTCACTAATATAAAGCTGCTGGTAATTAAAAAGTAGCTTGAGATATTTTAGAGCCAACCATTTTATTCTAATTCACTGTTAGCATTGTTAGCTCAACATTAGCATCTTGCCTCCTTAAGCCTATGGAGTAAAACAGTCTAAAACTTTTACTTGCTTTTACTTCATTCTTATACTCTAGGGCCACTCATTCTACACGCTTCCATTCTTTCTACAACCATGCTGCTTTTTGCCAGCGGGTGTCGATTTACAATTGCTGGCGCAGCAGTGCTTGCTGGTGCTGATTTAGCAATCTTGTAGCAGGACTACGACCCCCTTTAGCCTTTTTTAAAGGATAAAAGCATCTGCCGAATTCATTATCATAAACAAAGCCCACCTTGCCCTCCTGGGCCAGCAGCTGATAGATCGAATGTTCATCCAGGCTGAGGTCATCTGGCAAAGCGGGTGAGGAGGACTTGTCTGAGAGTTGCTCCGACTTCAGCGACGCCTGCTCAATCTCTGCCATTCTGATCTGCTACAAAGAATTCTCTTCAGTTATTAGTGATTGTAGAAGACATAAGAGTACCTCCAGATTACATCAATGCACAAAAGGGTGATTTTTAGGACATAATTCAATTGTCTGTTGTTCAAACTGAGGTTATTCAAGGGATATCTACAAAAAGAAATATATTGTTCATGTTTGCACATAAACTCATTTCAAAATATAATTAAAGCTTTGATGTAGGGACACATCTGTCCAAAAGGCATGGGCAGAGTTCACCACTGGCCACTAGGGTGTGCTGTGATCAAACCTCGAGGGAAAAAGGTGTCTTCAGGTGCCTGAAATCACATACAGGTATATGCGGCTATCCCTGACTACACTACTGCTGCTTCTCATTTGTATTGCTGCTGCTCAACCATCACACTGCTGTCCACCCATACTACTGTTCGACTTGTATCTGTAAGTCTTTGCATGCTTATTAAGCTAATGTAACGGTCACATTGTCAGTATGCATGCTAAGCCGCACTGCATTTGTTTACGTGTTTTATCGCATTGCTTAGCTTTAGCCTTTAGCCCATGATGCTGCTTCACGCTGCCGTTAGCTTCTGCTCACTCAGCTTTGTATGTCGCCATTAGACATTGAGGAGTGCATTTCTTCAGCATGTTGAGGTATTTAAAGAAAAAACTATGTTGCTCGCAAGCTTTGGAAAAATAATGACATCATAGTAAATCCAATATTTCAACATATAGGTTATTGTATGCATGTTTCAGCAAACACAATTTGGACGCATAATGTGATTTGTCCAGTAACTATTGAATTGTTTATTTTCAATGACGACACATTTTCTTTCTCTCTCGAGCAACGGCTAAGCAATAATCTAATATCATGTCTCGTGTGCCATGATGCATTTCTGAAACGTTACTCTTCAAGAGTCTGAGCAATAAATAGCAAGAGAAAGATAATGTGAAAGGGGTATTTAAATGGGGTGAAGTGGGAATCAATGAGCCAAGGCCAGCTAACAATAGATTAACACATGCCGATAGGCCAAAAAGACAAAGCAGTTCATAAAACAGGATTCACGGCTGATGTGAGGCAGCAAATCATAACTGCCACAAGTGCTGAGCTAGAAGAGAAGTGATGAAGCAAAACTCAAAAGCAAAGCAGAAGCACAGCAAAGTAGCTAATTACTTTAAAACAAAAACTGTCTAGTGTTTTTATTTTTATTTTGAATCATTCTCTCATGTTCACTTACGCTACTGTGTGCCATAACCCTACCTGTGACTTCAGTCTCAGAGGTGTGATATAAATAGCCTCAACAAAGGTCACCAACAGGTATATTTATCAAGAGGTAATGGAAACTACGATCTATCTCCCTGCATTCTTAGCTGTGCCTCTATCAGCAACACAATGTGGAAGGAGATTCTGCTCCCAATGTATCTGCAGACATATTAACCAAGGGAAGTACGTTTACAACCTTCGCCACTCTAGAAATATACAGATTTAACCAATGACAAAATGTCAAAATGGCTGAATTAAAGGCAACTGTTTCCTGCATACTCAGGTGACGTCTGCAGGAAAAGATTTTATGTTCAGACTAGTGGTGTAATGGTACAGTCAGTTCATGAGTTGAGCTGATGCACATTATTAGGTTGACAAAAATTGAATAGCTACAAAAACTGACTGGGTTTTGTAGGAAAGCAGTGACCTTGACAAGAACTTTCTTAGCATTTTAAAGATGCAACGTGTAAGAATGAAGTAAGAATTCCATCATGTGGTCAAATTTGGGTACTGCAGTCTTTTTCTAAACAGTCACTTTCTCACCCCCGTTCAATGAGTTTCATGATTGTTGCCCGTTACAGAGTCGGTACCAGATTGGCTTGAGGTCCTGCGCCTGCTGATGATGTCACATTATGGCAAATGCACTCGGCTTTCATACATACGTTTTGGAAAGACATCAGCAGTTTTGTTAGTAAATTAGTGTTTGTTACCACCTAAATGTTTTCTTTATAGTTGTGATTTGTTAATAAAACACCATATTATTCTTGTTTCGTCACCTGGTTACATAAAGAATGTGAAACTACATTAAACCAACATCAGACTGCCAAAAGAGACAACAGTTGTTATATGTGAAGCCATATATGTTTGTATACATGTGCAATTTGTCTGTATATTTCCTTTGTTGTTATGTAAATACATCCATTTGTTCATTCAAAATGTTGCCTGCTGTCTTTTCAATAAAGTTCTTACATTTTATTTTGCCTCATTTCATCAAAACCAAGAGCTTTTAATGGTCACCGTTTATCAGTTGATATCTTTGCTTTTATTTTACATTTACTTTGGAAATTCAAACATATTTTCTCCGAAAAGTGTCGATTTTTGGACAACATGACTACAACCGCAAAGACTACAACCGTAAATTTGTTCTGATCAATCACAATTTTCCTTTTTCAACATGCTAACATATCTTTTACGAACGTGGTATTCTAACTTCCGTAAGTCTTATGTTGAGCCAATCATCTACTGTGACGTAAATGGCAGACACAGGACCCCGAGCAGATCTGGTACCGACACCGGATCAGCGCCAGAAGCATGTAGATGACAAGCAAAGACGAGTCAAACATAGTAAGTTGTAGATAAATACTTTTTTATATCTGGTGAGAGCACTCGAGTATTTTACGGTAATGAGCACTTACTACACTTACTATGGTAGTATGCCTCAATTAGAGGGAGTGTGGTTGTTTGCCGACTCATTAAAGGAAGTCAAACTCCATGACTCACTCATTATTAACTTCACACATACATTTCACTGTAATAATGAGTTTCTAACTCACCGTTAGAATTGTTAGCTCAACGTTAGCCTTCTTCACCCGGTGTTAGAGTAAAGAAAAAAGATGTGGTGGCTTCTTAGGGGTACAAGAAATAATCTGAAAGAAGAAAAACTGACAACCCCCCAGACAGCTAAAAAGAAAATCTGTTTCGATGTAACCTTCCTTCCAACATGATTGAGACCTTGGACTGTTTTGTGATTATTTCACTGTAAAATTCTTACATATTGCTCCTTTAAGGATGTTCCATGAAACCAGACTTTTAGCAAAAACGTTATTAAAAAAGTTAGTAACAATTTCAGCCTTGCATGCACGTGGAAACTGCATTTCAAGAGCTTTCAAAATTATATTCATCAAGAGCGCGTTCCGCAGCGGGAAAAACATCTTGAAATGACATTGTTGCGTTTTCATGTAGACAGCGATGACCCAGTCCTTTAAAAACTTCATAGTTCCACACCTAACCTAACCCATGACCTATTTGTACTCTCTGTTTACAGTTTGTAGCTGCATGCAAGCTTTGTGCAAAGCCTTCTTTTATTTTTAGTACGTGTTCATGGTGGGGTTACAGTACCTCATACAGGCCTGACATGGCTAATACACAGTTTTGCATGATGCGTTATTACTCTTATTAGTGAATAAGGCTCTTTTTAAACACAACAAAAAACTGGATGAATGTTTTATTTGAACCCATAATGTTTAATGTCCCCCCTTTAAAACAAAGACACCTCATATATGCAAGTCAGAGAACATGGGGAATGAGCACAAGAACCACAGAGAATCAGATGCAATAAATCAGCAACTTAAACAGCGGTAGGCAGAGGAGTGAACGTCCACATGGAGAGAGGACACATGTAAAGGAGAGAAGGAAGACGGATGGTTTGACAGCGTCTGCAGACATGCAGAAAGCACGGCTGACAGGTGAGGAGTTGTGGATCCCAGTTACCTCTTCCTCTGAGCTGACCCACTGCACTTTGTCATTGTGATGAACAACACTTGCACAGGACAGGATGTTTCTGAGAGCATGTTCAATGACGTACTTCCTTGTTTAACAAGACTCTTTAGAAAACAAGTTCAAGTGAAGGAGATTGTTGGCGTGCTTTTGCAGGCATACATTATCCAGAGTGGTTGTGTTTGTGTATGCGTGCAGAGGGCCTCATTAATCCACAGCAATCTACTTATGAAAAGCTGATTTCATCTCAAGCTGATCAGGCTAATTGGGGGTCGTCATTATTGTAAAATAACGGATGAGCTGACCCAAAAAATAAAACAACTTTCCGTACAGAGTGCTCTGCAATGAACGAAGCCCAGCAGAACCTGGGGCAAAAGAATGTTCATATGTATGACCCTCACCTGCAGGCAGTTGGATCTGACACATCCAGTTTAATCAAGTTTATGTGTTTCTTCTTTCATGAGTGAGTTTGTTTATAAAAAAATGTGTACGTGTTAAGAATGCAGCAGGGTTTAGCTCCACGGTTTCTGATGCAAGTGTATCCTACATATGCATTCTCTTGTTCAGATTTTTTTTATATCTATTCAAATATTTCAGATAAGCAAGCAAATAACAATACAAACAAAGATAACACTGACCCGAATAAACACAAAAGACAGTTTTCAAATGATTACTTTATTTAGTAAGGGAACAAAACTACCTAATCTAACAAAAACAAAAGAGGTTTGAATTTAGAAGTGGCGATTGTTGTTTAGTGCTCTCTTGTTTACAGTGGAGATGCACATTCCAGTATCGGGTGGGCGTGGCCTAGGGATGATAGCCTACAGGAGGGGTCGGTGTTCACTGACAATGTTTCTGTTTTAAAGCTGGCTTGTTTTATAGATTAGCCAATGCATCTTTAAGTCATTTATTTTTAAAACAAATTTAACTGCTTCTCCTTCTTCAACAGTGTACTGCGGACTACTAGCCTGGCAAGCCAGACTAAATAAATGTATCATTTAGTCTGGCCATGCTCCATTGACGGCTCTCGGTTGTGGGGCGGGTTCTACTGTTGTCTTTCAAATGATCTCCGCATTCCACTGGACAATGAATGTGACATACTCTTGTTTCACTCTGTTGCATCATCCCACCCACCAGGCATATAGAGTGCCCTGATTGGCCCACAAAGCGGATAAAGCTCTGTGATTTGTTCACTAAGCAGATAGAGCACTATGACTGGCCCACCATTATGGACCAATCACAGCTCTTTATGTGTTTGAAACCCCTCTAGAGAGCTGTGATTGGCTAGCCAGAGTCCTGGTAGGAGCTGCTGAGGTTCCAATGGAGCATGCCTAGACCATTCTTTGCAAAGCAAGAATTTGGTCTAGTTCACTAAGCTAGCGGACCACCCTTGCTCGTGATGTCCACCCATGCTTGAGCTGTCGCACACGGTGTCACAACCTGTCCTGTCTCCCTACTCTGTTCAGTCCTGTCTAATTCCTAATTGCTCCCACCTGCCTCTCGTCTCCCAATCATTTTAGATACCAGGTCCTGGTGTATTTGAACCCTCCCAGTTCTGTGTTCCTTGTCTGTTCATCGTTTCCATGTCCTGTGCGCTTCTCATTAAAACCTCTTTTCATGATCATTCTGACCTGCTGGCCTTTTTCCCCATGCATTTTGGATCCTCACCGCAGCTGCTCGTCTCTACTTCACCTGTGCGTTGTGACACATAGCCAGATGAGATATTTGCATATAGAGGAGGGCTTGCCAGGCTGATGCTTAGCTTCTTTAATAAAAATGAAGGCTAAACAGACTAATACATATATCTTACAAGTTATGCAAAACTAGGGGGTTACATGATCGCCTGCAAGAATGTAAATTTTAAAAAGAAGGGGAAAAGTCAAAGATCTTCAGAAATTTTTGGCAAACTTCTGGGAATGGCCTATTTATAAAAATGCTATAAATTTTGGTTTCATGGAACAAAAGACTGAAGAAGTAAAGCAAACCTCCAGATTTGATCTGTAAGCCACAGAAGGCACTGAAAAATGCAACTCTAAACGTGAGGATGTGTCTCCTGCATACATGTTTGTGTTTATGTGGTCAGGGCGGTACCTCTAGGGGCTTCCCTTTGCAGTCTTTGCAGACAGGTGGAGGAGAGGAGTAGTGGTGGAAGACAGAGCCGGAGAGGTTGTCGATCATCAGCATCTCCCCCTCTAAAGTGTCCTTGATAAGGAGAGATACGCTGTCCAACCACTGGCTTTCCTGAAACACATACACACACACGCGCATACACGCAAACACACACACACAGGACACAGGCCGGCAGACCAGGATGCACAAACATGTGCACACGCGAACATGCGAGGACAAAAAACACGCAGGGAAATGCATACACCATTGAAAGGGTTATTAAGTGTTCTGTGTGCACAAGAAAGTAGGCTTCTGGCATTTCCTATCTGCCCACAAGATACACAGTTATTGATAAACATAGTTACACCTGAAAAAACACATCTCTAAAAATCCTGCACAAAATATGAGAGGCACCAAACAACAACTAATTCAGCTGTACAAATATATTTAGTGTACCAAAGTGTGTAATATGTTGCAAAGGACTACCGGTACTTGAGTAAATGTTCTGTTTTCATAATCATAACAGTGTTAAACATTCACACTCTGCAAATATTTGAAGAGTTGGGAAGCACCTCACTACCTTTGATTGCTGATTTTTTATAGATGAAAGCAAAAACAAATAACTGAGGATTTAAACAATTTAAAGAGAAAAAAAAAGAGCTTTTATGCAGTCACAACAGCCACATAAATCAGGACACGCTCATCTACCATCCATTATCCTGGTTTAAGTTACTTAAATGCAACAATCATTGCAACAAGGGTTGGGAGGAAATATAAAAAATAAAAGCAATGCAGTTTTAAATTTTGTCCTTTAAATTACTGTGAATTACACACACACACACACACACGCACTCACACACACACGCACTCACGCACTCACACACACACGCACTCACACACACACACACACACGCACTCACACACACACGCACTCACACACACACGCACTCACGCATGCACGCACGCACACACACACACACACACACACACACACATATATATACATTATGTATATATATATATATATATATATATATATATATATATATATATATATATATATATGTGTGTGTGTGTGTGTGTGTGTAGTGAGAGGGTAACTGTAGTGCTTTTAAGCTTGATATGTTACCTTTACTTATGACCAATGTGATGTGAATTTCCATATAAATATGGAAATCCAGTCTGATTGGTCTTGAATGTTTAACCAGAAGATTTAGAATTCTTTGTTTATTCAGGGATTGTAGAACACTTCATCTTGCTTCAAGAAAAGAGTCAGGTTTATAAAAAGTAAGAATTTATTTTCCAAACAATTAAAAACACGACAAGTTCACTAATATTACTGTGATGGATGGATCTAGGTGGATGGAATGTGATGTATGGTGACTATATGTGAATGTGATGTTATCAGAACTTTCATATCTAGAAGAACTGAGTTCTGGGAGTAAAAAGGGAAAACATTTGGTTTGCATTAAGCTATGAAGTTGATTCTTATCAAAAAGGCATCAGACGCTATCTGTGTGTCTACCTCAACCTTCGGAAGCCCTCTTCAAGGATCTGAAGGTCAGGGAGGTCAGATGACCTCTGGGCACCGAGGTGTGTAGAATAACCGCAGCACCGACTCCAGTCCAGAGATATTTTCAGGTCACAACAGATGGATGCCCAAAATTGCTCTGGGTTAAAGAGGCTTCGCTCCGCACGGCCGTTCCGTAGCGTTCTCTAGAACTAACTCACCGTCTCGTGAGCTCAGTTTTAATATTCTCATGTTAGGAATTCTTGTCCAATCGGAACGTGCCCTGTTGAGGGATATTTCCAAGAAAACCTCAGAACATCACACCGTCTTTGAGATACCGGATGCTCTGATTTGGGATGAAGAAATATCTATGTGTCATGAGTTTAACTTAAATTTTTCCTTGTGTCTGAGTGCAGGTAATGATTGCCTTGTCATATCAAACATGACTGATTACCATATTTATAAATCATTCAATGTAACAATTCATTTCATTTCACTTTCAGTAGTTCAAGCACAGATCAATTACCCTTATTGATTTAAGCACAGATTAATGAAGACATTATTATTATACGAATGATTAACTCATATAAGCTGAAAACAGCCACTCTTATAACAGTCCAGTCCGGCCTAGTTAACCAAGCAGGCATGGCACAGAGTAGGTTGTTAGCTGGAAGACAAAAATTGCACTGCACCGTCAGATTTCGTTAGGGTTAGGGGTACATTGTTTAGGGCAGTGGTTCCCAACCGTATTTAGCCACGCACCCCCTTCTATGTCCCGACCATGTCGACTCACCCCCCGGCCCCCACATCAGGGCATGGCTATATGTATATGTATGTATATATATATATATATATATATATATATATATATATATGTATATATATATGTATATATATATGTATATATATATGTATATATATATATACATATATATATATATATTTCAGACGTCAAGCTAAACAGACAGGGTTAAGAAAATATGATCGACCTTTTCTCCATCACTTTCATTTTTTAAATAGTAATTAATAAACATTCAATACCATTACAGTTTCCTTTTATTTAATTTTAAATAAATATTTAGAGTGCCCAGGTAGCACATAAACAATGCAATTTAACGGTTTTCTTAAAGTAGGAACGTTTAACCTGTGCGGCCAGAGCGCTCTCCTTTCTTCTGCTCTGCGTAAACCTGAGCTGGTCACCTACTTGTGCGTAATCAAATGTCTATAGGGGAAAATATGGAAAAGCCATGAGGTTCACTTTTGCCTCAGACCGACTTATTGCTGTTTTATGGTGTTGCTGAATCTGTGATCCGCTGCCACGCGGACTGGAATAACAAATGCTGCAGTAACATGAGTTGTGGTCAGGTTCATGACTGGCTCCACTGGCTGGAGCAGACCCGACTTTAATACGTCATCCCAAAATAGAAGCTAACATCTTAATTTGACCTGGAATGAAAAACGTTGTTATAAAACCTCCTAAAAGTTTTTATCACAGAGGAGGCAGCGCTCATTTCTGTCTTCAGTCTGACGGCGCGTCTGAGTTTGCGCAGCGTGCACGCTTATTGAATCTGTGTGTGTGTGTGTGTGTGTGTGCGGCACAGCTCCATGAGCCGCTCCAGTCACCGCGTCTCGTTATTGGCGCTATTTAAACCAATGTTGTAAAATTACTTCTGCCCAGCCCAGATGTGCTCACTTGTGCACCCGTGAGCCATGGTTCCGCTGGAACGGGTCTGACCTCTGACAGACGCACTCTGAACTTCAGATCTTCAGCGCGCTGTTAATAGCCTGAATGGGAATCATTTCTTGATTTATTTTGTTACATCCACAATGTTCTGTGTGTGAGGTTTACAATGTCAGAACACCTGCATGAGACAGGTGTTAATTACAATCTGCCAGAATGACTCACCACCTTCAGATTTTTCCAACACAGTTAAAAATGATCAAATACGGAACATATCGGCGTGCGCAGGCCAGAGCGCTGAAGCTCGGCGCATTGTTATTATGAAGCTAGGGCACATGTGGAGGACACGCGCGCAAAAATATACTTGTTTTCAATTACATTTACTGGGCCCACTTACGTTTTCTTAGGCCCACCCACAAATGAGTTTCTGGCTACGCTAATGGTGACATATGACAGACTTCTCTGAGCTCCGCAGCTATTACACTTTTCACCTCACGCACCCCCTAGTGGCAGCTCGCGCACCCCTGCACCATACTTTGGGAATCCCTGGTTTAGGGGAATTATGGGATAGATAGCCAACATAACGCAGAGACACACATTGCCCGAAATTTATTTATTCATCTTTCGAGTGAAAAGTGGAAAACAACCAAGTATTCCAATGGTATTATGAAAGTAGCTGTATTCTAAAAACCATGTTTTAAAATGGTAATTAACTGAATACAGTTACTAATCTTTGGTATTCTAAATACATGTTTTCAGTTACTCCTCAACACTGTACACTGTAAACTGTACATACAGATATATATATATATATATATATATATATATATATATATATATATATATATATATGTATATATATATATATATATATATATATATATATATATACATATATATATATACATACATATATGTGTGTGTGTATATACATGTATATATGTGTGTATATATGCATGTATATATAAGTATATATGTATAAATGCATATATATGTTTATATATAATATATATATATATATATATATATATATATATATATATATATATATATATATATATATATATATATATATATACATATGTTTTATATATATAGAGATAGATATATTAGTGGTGTGCATCTCTACCTGCCTCACGATTCAATCCGATTCCGATTATCTGCCCAAAGATTCGATTTGAGTCTGAAATGCATCACGATTCTTCACACAAAAATTTTCATTACTTAATAAAAGCAGTAGAATAGTTTTCAATTTCTTTTTGATTTTGACATCCCTGAAAAACAGAACATTCATCTATTCACTATAGTGAGCAATAATTTTTAAAGTGTGCTGCCTATAATTACTTAAATAATATAAGAAATAATGTTTTCGGTAGAGCAGCTTTAAGATATAATATTACTGAACTTAAAAATAGTAAACAAATACTGTGTTAAGTGATTCTTTCACATCCAGGATCCCAAAACCAAAATTAGCCCAGACATCCGATTTAAATGTAACGGGTACATCTTTGATTACTGGTAATGTTGGCCCTGTATCCCTGTCTGCCTTTTCTGTTTTAAATTGGCGCTAGGGCAACGCAGTGCGCATGTCATTGCAACTCTGCCCCCAGAAGTAATTATAAAACCTCAAAACTTTATTGTCCTGCATAGACATAGACCAGGGGTCGGCAACCTGTTCCCATCAAAGAGCCATTATTACCCGTTTCCCACAGTAAAGAAAACACTGGGAGCCACAGCAGCTGCAGCGTTGTGGGCGGGGCCTACCCTCAGACAGCAGAGAGCTGCTAACAACAGGTGACAGCAGCCGGTACCGGTCGCTCGTGTACATCAAAGTTATCTTTCATAAGACGATAATCAATAAAATGATTTATATAAAGTGGATCCAGAAGTTGTGCCTACAGTATTTTGATATTTTTCACCCTGTTGGTGGTTTTACTGAGC